CTCTGTGTGGCGGCCACAGATACCAGGTGTATCTGCCCCAGCAGCCATGTGGCCAGGGTAGTGTCTGCATCCTGCCTGCATTCTCCTGGTCCTCGAGAACTTATTATTTGTGCAGACTTTACCCACACTAGAATTACATTCTGTTCCAAGGAACCACGTGTTTGGAAGGTCACCACTGAATGCCTGGCTTCCACAAGCACAGAAGTGGAGTTGGCACTGCCCAGCCTTTCATCTCCATAGAGGGGAGTAGGCAGCAAGGAGAGGCCCAGCTAATTATCAGTGTTTTAAAATACAAATTTAAGTAATTGTTGGGAAGAGGTGAAAGAAGTCAGAAACCCAGATGCAGCAGCCATCACCCATGTTTCAAGTGATCAGAGACACGGAGTAGGCAGAGCCCACGGGCACCGGCAGAAGTGTGGGCAAGCTGGGTCCCTGCAGCAGCTGTCATGCAATTTGTGAGCGTTTCTGCCTCTGGTTTCTCTCTCAATTTGTTTCTTTTCTTTTTCTTTCTGCTTGAAAGGCATATACTAGCTTTATTAAAGGGCCATGTCACAGAATCAATATAAAAAAAAAACAAAAAATTCCATCAGTTTAATAATAATAAAAATCCCAAAATGGAAATGTGAGGAGGCAAGGGAAAAGACCCATAGGCCAGGGGAATGGGAGGACTGCTCATGGTACCAGGCCTGGCTGCAGGGACACGGTTGTTGCTGTTGCTACAAGGTCTGAGGGGCCGTGATTGTCCTGTGGGACCACCACTCTCCTGGGTCTGGCATTCATTTTCTGCAGCTCGCGTTCTCTTTTCTGATGCTTCGCCACTTTCCATGGCCAGATCCCGCCAGCTGGTTTCTGATGTGGAGGGTGAGGAGCCCCAGCTGTGCCCATCCTGTCCTCTGAAGGGTAGGTGGCCCTGTGTGTAGAGTTAATATAAGAGCACACAGTTTGTTTCTCGAGAGAGTAAAGCACCAAACTCCAGTTGCTGTTTTAAAATTTGACAGCAGTTGACTTGTTTTCCACAGGGTTTTTTGTTTTAAATGAAAGTGATGGAGCTGCAGCACAGACAGTTGACTGCTCATGTCCTTAGTCTGTTGCTCCTGTGTGTCACCTGCAGGCTGCTTGTTCAGAGGAGAGACAAGAGCCAGTTACAGAGAATAGTCACAGAGTTGGCAGGGCCGCTGGCCGCTCACCCCTGCAGAGCGGCCCAGGCTGCAGCAGCTCTGCCTGTGCAAGGCAGGCTTTCTACTGCTGTCAGCTGCATTTTGTTGGAAGTGTGGGCGAGAAATTGCCATACACTGGAATCCGCCTCCTCCTTGGGGTTTTTAGCTTGCTCTTTAGATAAATGTACCTCTCTGCTGCAGTGGGCCCAGCTCAGTGTTGTCTCTTATCTCGAAAGAGTGGGGGAAACATGAACGGGAACATCGGCGTCAGTAGGGTCTTGGTCCAGGCTCCCTAAGCCGGAGTGCAGCTAAGCCTTGCAGGTGTTGCAGTGCATTAACCCTTGAATTTGGAAGAAGAAAACTTTGACTAATCACTCTTTTTGTGTTAACACATAGACCTGTCAGGGTGGGGGACAAAATGTATGAATTTTGAAGATAAATGGAGAATCTTCCGTGAGGTTTGTGTCTTTTGACCTCAGGAGACCCGTTTTTCCTCTCTGTACCTGGAAGGAGCGTGTGCGCTTGGTCACGCACGCACAGATCGATGGGCTGTGCTCAGGTGTCCTGAGCATGTGTGTGTGCTGGCACCTGAGCGGGCCGTGCAGCCTCATCCGTGCAGCCTCATTGCAGCCTCATCCGGTACACAGTCCCTTTGGCTGTTTTCGTAGTTTGAAAAGGGAGTTACAGAAAGAAACAATGTGTTTTACTGGTAAGAGAACTGAATGGCTCTAAATTAAAAGAAAATTTGTTTCAAGTAGGCTGTGGTCCTTTTTCATGCAGGATCCCTTTGTCATGAAAATGTAGCAATGTCCCTAAGTTAATTCCTTCACTGTAGAATGCTTATAGTAGAGATCATGAGGCTTTGAAAATATTTTCACCACGATGTTCATTTGCTGTCTTTTTGAGACAGGGTCTTGCTCAGGCTAGCCTTCAGCTCAATTTTGTAGCCCAGGCTGACTTCAAACTCTCGATACTACTGCCTCAGCCTCTCGAGTGCTGGGATTATAGGCATGTGCCACCATGCCCGACTCTCACCATGATTTTTTTTAATTTTTTTAAAGTTTTTTTTTTTTTGTTTTTCAGAAGCGAGGATTGAACTCAGGCCCTTGCGCTTGCCAGGGAAGTGCTTATTCCACTGAGCCATCTCCCCGGCTCCACACCATGATTTTTTACTAATCATTCAAAACATTCTTTCATGCACCTTCATTGGTAATCCGGGTGGTGCTATTCCATGGTGTGACCACTAGGGAGAGCACAATTGTTTTGTGTTTCACAGTAAATGAAGACGGCTTGTGGCATAAAAATAGTTCTCTTGAACTAATTTAGCATAATTTCAAATAAGCACATTTTAAGTAATGAGATTTTAAGTCCTTACACGTTCTTAAAATTTTTTTAGCTTCATCTTATATGCTTCAGAGATTAGTAATGGGGAGAAAAAACATATATATATATATATATATATATAGCTGGAGAAATAGCTCAGTGGTCTAAAGCACCTGCTTAGGCAAGCTTAGGCAAAGCACAGGGACTGTGGTTTGATCCCCAACACCACATGCCGTGTTAGTTGTGCCCCCAGAGTGGGCTGAGCTAGCCACAAAAAAAAGATCATGTATATTTTTTGTATTGTTGTTTTGTTGTTGTTCAGTACCAGGAATCGAACTCAGGACCTCACTGCTTGCCAGGTAAGCACTTGTTCCACCAAGCCATCTCCCCAACCTGAGAAGTTATATATTTTACATAGTGTTATTATTGCTTGTAGAAGTCTGCTAATCCTAGCTAACTCTTTGGTCTTCTCTCTAAGCTAGACTAGTTTGAAAAGCTCATGACTTAGAACAGATAGCTTCCAAGTCCCCTTAAAAAAAAGAAAGAAAGAAAAATACTGAAGCTGCTTTATAAAGTAGAAGATTTTCCCAGTATTTAGCTAGCTACTTTCATTTTAACCTGTAGAGAAAGTTTGATGATACTTTTCTTTGAAGTTGTTTGTGGCTTCAACATTGCTTGACTGGAAAATGCCCTGCTCAGAGGGGGCTGGAGCCAGAACGCTGGGACCCTGGCTGGAGGGCAGCGCACTGCCTGGGTCAGCACTGGGAGGCTGTGCCTGGTGACATCAGCGAGCTTTACAAGATGAGCTCACCTCTCAGGGTCCAAGGTGCATGCTCCCCTGCAGGCACAGCCTTCTGTGAGTCACCATCCCAACAGTGACGCAACACCACCCTGGGCAGGAGGCCCCAGGCCACCTGGGGCCATCTCGTGTACCAGCCCTGTGCCTTGGGTCTCGTTCTCTCACTGGCTGGCCACCTCTTGTACCTGGCATGTCCTCCCAGGGTCTCAGCTGGGCAGTGTGAAAGAAGGAGCTGAGCAAGAAATTGGCCAGCCACATGCCACCTACTTGCCAGCCACATGCCACCTACTTGCCAGCCCTCCTTCCGGGCCTCCACGTGCGGGGAAGACAAGACTTGCCCTGCTTTCCCCTCGCTGCTGTCTGCGTGCACACATTCCAGGCATCTCCCCACTTCTTCCAGCACTCCATTTCTCCCTCTTCACCTCTGTGGGCTGCTGGTCTCGCCTCTTGTCCTGTGCACAACCTCCACCTCAGGTCATCAGGATGCTCACAGCAGGGCCTGCCCTGCACTGGCGGAGGATGCCGCAAAGGCTGCACAGCGGACAGGGCACAAGACAAGTTCTCCCACTTCTAAGTGGGATGAGTTAGCTTTTTACTCTGTCACCCGAAATTGTTTCATTATGTAATTTGGTGTTGTATTGGTGCATCAGACACTACCGTCTCTTATTTGGTTAGACATTTGGAATTTTATCTTTTTGTGAAATTCAGAGGTAGGAAAGGGCTCCCCTGTAGGCAGAGGAACAGAGTACCATTCCTCTTCAGGTGGAGACTGAAGACAGTAGAGCTCCTGTCTTCAGCCGTATGGTGACCCAGCCACCTTGTCCCTTCTTCTGGGCAGGAGGGCCTCAGTCCCTGGAGCAGCTCCACATAGTGGGAATGCAGTAGGAGTGCTGTTGGTCACATTTAAAAAATGAAAAAAAAATAGTGAAAAATTGTGATATCTTATTTAGTTCAGTATAAAAAAATTATCACTTAAAAAGTGTTGTATATAAAAATGTCTGAGATTATTTCACCTTTCTTTCATCCTAAATCTTCAAACCCAGAGGCTGTCTTCCGCCTAGAGCTCTGAGTAGTTGGTGCTGACCTCAGAGGTTCAGCATCACCTGTGGCTAATGACTGTTTGTAATGAACAGGAAGTCCTAGAAAATGACTTCAATAAAACAGATTTTAATTTAAAAATCGGAAACACCTTGTCTGTGTGTGTTGCATGTTTTAGGCTGTGAGAAGAATTAAGTTGAAGTCACTTTATGTTGACTGACTTAGAGCTTTTGAGAAACTCCTGGAACTGTTTGTAGTGTTGCACTGTCATACTCCCGGGGTCTGGTCAGTTTTGTTATTTACAGTGCCAAGCACCATAATCTCGCAGAATCATGAAAAAGACTGGGTCATGTCAGTATGATGAAGTAAAAATAGTCAGCAGTTGAGCTCTATACGGCAGTGTGACCCAGCTAGCTCCGGGAAGCCCCGGCACTCAGAAAAGCTAAGTAGATTGTGTCCTTTATAGGACGTGTGCAGGGGTGCTTTTCCACGTGAAAAGTTGTTTAATTCCTGAAAGTGAGGATGTGATTGTGTCAGGAAATAATCATTAACTCAGTCCCTGTCCCTGTGATGGAAGCTGCGTGGTTGTCGTGTGATGGGCAGGACCCAGCACCTATCAGTGTAAACAGCACCACGTCCCATGCCCTGCTTATCTCCCTGGAGAGCAGGGGCTGGGGCGCTCTGAGCAAATCTCATTGGTAAAGTTGTGTGTGCACTGGTTTTTATAGACCCATTTCCTTTCAGTTTAACTCTATCCCGGCAGACGCTGAGAGCAGTGTCAGCTGTCAGCAGAGCACTTTCTGTTGTGACAGCTCTTGGTCTTGGTGAGGAGATGCTTCACAAGTGGCTCCTACTCTAGAATGTTTTACTTAGAAGATGGCAGTGAAGACGAGAGTCCTGGCGGCCAGCACAAAGGCACTTACCATGGCAAGGCCCCCCCGGGTCTCCTGGTGAGTTCCGCCCCTGCCCTATCCCCTGTGCAGGTGTGTGCTCCTCAGGTATTGCTGTCGGCCCTGGCCCGTCCTGGATGGAGCGGCGCTGCGTGCATTGGCCAGCCTTCAGTGCTGGTTGCCGGCCTCCTTCGTGGCGCTATGATAGCTCTCTACCTTTCTTGGTATTTCACAAGTAATAACTTTCTGGCTAGAAGAAAAAATGAAGTTGCTTTGAACTAAAGATTTTCTTAGGTTTCAAAATAACGTATATAGGCAGCCCTGGCAGAGCATGCCTCCAATCCCAGCACTTGGGAGGCTGAGATAGGCACATCATTGCAAGTTCAAGGGCAGTCCAAGCTACATAGTGAGATCCTGTCTCTTAAAAATTTGTATTTGGCTTCATGTTGTCTTTGTGTTTCACTGTAGTAGTTGAGGTATAAAAATGATTCAGAAGTTGTATGGTGTTTATGGTCAGCCAGATTTTTTTGAAAGCTCAGCTACTATTTTGAAACTGATCTTTAATTTGGGTGTATGATAGAGTGCTTGAAGGTTGTTTCTTCTGTACTTGTATAAAATTTTTTTGTAAGTTTGAGATCAGTGTGGAGAAAAATACAAACTGTCTGAATTTTTTGTCTGGAGTTTCCTTTTAAAATGTGAAATAGCCAGCTGTGGGGGCACATACCTGTAATCGCAGCGCTCAGGAAGCTGAAGCAAAGGATCACCATAAGTTTGAGGGCAGCCTGGGCCAATGATGTATTTAAGGAAAGTCTGCACTATGCAGTGAGACACTATCTCAAAAAAAAAAAGTGAAATAAATTATTTCCTTAAAGATATTTAGAAAATTAAGGATGAATATTTCTACAAAAAGCAAACCAAAAATTGAGTGTTTCTCTATGAATGTTGGCAGTGCCTGGTGAACACTTGGCTGGGCTGAGTTCTAGTGGCACACAGATATTGTCTTCAGTGTTGTCCCCCCCCCACAACCCGGCCCCTTTGCTGTGGGGTCTTTTCACATGGCCCTGGGTGGGGCTGACAGGAGACATGTGTCTGTGCACAAGCTAGGGTGAGGGTCGCACTTGCTGCCCCACTCTCTGCCTAGGAGCCCGAGCGTGCTGTGGACCCAGCCACATAGGGAAAGGTAGGCATGGGGGGCCCAGCAGTGAGCTGTCTGGTGATTTCCAGGGGGAGGTCAAGGGCATTTACTGAGGCTGCACTTTATTAACAGCTTTTTTATATATTACTGCTCCCAGTCACCTCCCACCCCAAGAGAAATGTTAGTTTTCTGCACGGCCAGTGCTGAGGGGCTGGATGTCCTATCAGCCTTATCTGTGGCAGTGGTCAGAAGTCGGCTTTATTTCCTGGGGGCGAGGCTGCTGTGAACACTCTCGCACGTCACTTTCTTATGGCACATCTCTTGATGGTTTCACTTTCGCGAGGCTTTCTCTGTGGTGTGATATGTGGAATGTGTGCATCTCAGGAGGTAAAAGCCACAAGAAGACTTCTTCATTAAAAATGAGGGGCTTAGGGGCCATACCCCTTGTCCTGTCAGCTCTTTCTTGGGGAGCTGGGCACTTGGTTGATTCCATAAAGCTCAACATGATTTCGTGCCATGAGTTGTACAGGTAGCAAGTCACTCTGCAGGATATCATGGGACCCTGGCCAGCACACTGCCATCCCTCGGCTGCCTGCTAGCGGATCTGAAGCTCACTGCATACCTCCAGCCCAGCACAGGAGGTACTCACAGTACTTCATTGACTCGAACTTGGTCTTCACCATTCATCTTCACAGTTGTCGTAAACTCCCGCCACCCACCCAGCCCCTTGTACTCTTGCAGGGTGCCTGGTGTCCTGCTCTAGCACCCATGGGTGCTGGCTCCCAAGCCCCTGCAGGGTTGCAGCACATGAGAGGATTCTAAACCACCACCTGCAGGTATACACTGTGAACTTGCCAGCTAGTGAGAAGTGGTACTGGAGCTACAATGGCACAGGGTTGGGGATGTCACTAACCAGCTGGTCTGGGTTGGGGCACCTTCTGTTGCAATCTGCATTAGCAGCATGTTTGTCTTTTTGAATCCTGATCTGCAGTTGAGCCAGGAACCGGGTGCTCATAGGCTCGGCTGTGCATGAGTGTGTTTAGGCTGTGTAAGATTCTCACTCGGGCATCCCTTGGTGCCCAGTCCATTTTTCCTGAGGAAGGCCTGAGGGGTAGAGGCACAGTGACCAAGCACAGGCAACTCCTTGGGGCCGGCAGGACAGGCCGAGAGCCAAGAATCAAAGGAAACCTCTTTGCTTAGCAGATACACCTCATTGTGCACGGCGGAGTCCAGTAGATACCCAGGAGCAGTTTTATTTGTACTTACTAGTATTCCTTCAGTTTGTGACGGACACAGCTGGAGTACTTTTGCAAGTGCTCTGTGTCACCACACCTCCATTTGCCCCAATGCTCGGTCGTGCCTTGGACTCCAGCTGCTACGCTCTTCATGGCAGTGGCGGGAGGGCATATGACCCCTTTGCAGCATGGACACAGAATGGGAGTCTGTCCCCTCAGAATCCCAGCTTTGTCCCTAGGTGGCCCAGAAGTCTGGCTTCTGAACTGGGCTAGAGTTGGACACAACTCTCTAATGCCCTAGATGTGAATCTTACTCTTTGGGAAAAATCTGATTTTAAACCATTTGTGTGTTACATTCATATATCTTGTATCATTTTGAAAATAGAACAATTTCTGATACTTTTTATTGTGTTGAGTCTTATTCTAGAACAAGATTTCTTTGTGTCTTCCTTGAAGCCTATTTTCTTATCTCAGATTTCTTGAGACATTATTGGGGAGAAACTTTCCAAAGGGTGATTTTAAAAAATCACATTGCTGTTGTGTAACAGTGTGGCTTTAGCTCAGTGATGAAATTGTGCCCAGAACTCTGTGTGCCTTGGCTGTGCCAGCTCAACCTCAGTAGCCATCTGAGCCCTGTGGATCCCAGGAAGCCCGGCAGGTTGTGTAATGCCACCATCCATCAGTGACAGCCCTGCACTCCACCTGACCTGCACGGGTCAAGGGGCAAGCTGGGATTACAGCTTCGATCGCCTTTGTTTCTCTCAGACTCAGCAGCCTGGACTCAGAGCCATTATTGATTGATATTTGGTCATAAAGTCAGAGTCATGTTGGGCGAAGTCCTTCCTTCAGGACCAGTGAGGCAGGAAAGGAGTGGGAGGCATCACTTTCTCCGATTCTGTTCTATCTCCATGGAAGCAAGAAGGGTTTGGGAGCAGGTCCACCTCCATCAGTTACCAGGCAGCAAGAGAGAGGTTGACATTCTGAGGTCCTTGGGGGCCTTAATGGCTCTACCAGTTATGGGGAACAGATGACCATCAGGTTCCTCCAGAACCGTATGGCCGAGGTGACACATGACTCCAGCTAGATTGCTAGTGTCCCAGCTGGACAGACATAGGCAGCACAGAAGTGTTCAGCCCTGTTTCAGGACAAGCTCCAGGCCTCATGCAAGTGTTTTTCAGGGAAGCCCTGTTTCAGAATCCAGCCCAGATCCTCACCTCTGAAGTTGTGGTGTGCCCTTGGCATGTCTACTGTCTCTGACAGTGCCCTGGATCGTACTAGTTTTACCATGGATATGCCATTTTGTAGCATTATCCTCTGGGTTTGTCTGGCATTGTCTTGTCCTTAGGCTAAGGTTACGTTTTGACAAAAGACCACACAAGTGATACATTCTTTCAGTGAGTCATCCCAGAGGGTCCCTAATGTGAAAGTGTCTGCTTATGAGTGGCTTCTCTTGATTTTGTGGTGGTGTGACCTGCCTTCTCCATGGTAGAGTTAGGGTGTCCCCCTGTTTTGGGAGGAGTCTGTATCGCAGGAGCAGTGTGGAGACTGTGTTGCACATCCCCTGACAGAGCTTACTCGTCACGTTTACTTTTTAGTTGGAATTCATCTTTAAGAGTGAGCTGTCCTTCTCACCTACTTCTTTATTTATACTTGTGTGGGCTTGTGAACATTTATTTTATTCTCAGTTACAATACAGTCCTATTTCTCATTGCTCAGATGGTCCTAGTTGTAGCCCATGGGACCTTTTTGGGCGCATCTTGTGTTCCTGGAGCATGCCTGGTGCTCCTGACTGGGAGTACTTCCCAACTGACTCTGTGCATGCTCCGGGAGCAACTGCCCTGAGCCTCCAGGAAGCCCTGCCTTGTTCTAAACATTGACTGGTCTGAGCTCTGGATGCACACCTTGCTTTGGGAGTGTCCCTGCTCCTCAGTCCTCTTACTTGGGAGAACTGAGGTATGTAAGTGTGTGTCTTACCCCAGGCCTGACTCGTGTGTGTCTCTGCATCGGTCCCTATGTTGGTGCAGTTTCAAACTGAATCCCAGCAGGCTCATGTTAGCTTTCCCTCCGGGAGATTGTATTTGAGCCACTTCCGGGGCATCTGTGAGGAACCAGACAGTGGGACAGTGGTTCCTGTGTGAACCCCAGTGCTCGTGTAGCTTGGCTAAGTACTGTACTCTTTGATAATGAACAGTCTCTTCCTTAGTGAGTCATTTTCCATAATTGAGTTATGGTGAGTCATCATTTTCCATAATTGAGTTATCATTTCTTCTTATACTAAAAAGAATTTACATCAGTTCTATCCCTTAATTCAGGAAACTCAGATTCCTAAAAGTATCCTGTTGTTTATAGAGGAATGGGACATGGTCTTGCTTGGTGGCCAGATTTATGAAAACTTGTCAAAGAAATTGAGCACACTTGAGTTAATGTTCACTGGGCTGTATCTCAGGGAACTGGTAAACACTTTTTAATTTTTTAATCATTTATTTATTTATTTATTTATTTGGTATAGGGTCTCGCTGTGCAGTTTGGACTCATAGTGATCCTTCTGTCTTAGCCTCCCCAGCACTGGGCTTACAGGTGTATGCCACCATGCTTGATTACAGTGGCTGGCTCAGCAAGGGGTCAGCACTGCATGCAGTACCAGGGATCAAACCCCAGGTCCTTGCACTTGCCAGGCAGGTGCTTAGACC